TTCACAAGATTGTAAGTTCAAATCTTGTTGTCAAGGATTTTGCTGGTGCACCTTTATCTGATAAGTTCTTGAAATCTAATGCAACACCTCACTTTTATATACTAATAGGATCATTTTAACGTCTGTGAATCACTAACGCCAGGTTTCCGTCCTGGGAAAAGACAGGGAATTTTTTTTTTCCTTTAACATTAGAATCCGTTGATCAAATATTTCAAAGCTTCAGATAACTGATGAGTGATCCAATATCAACCCTGCTTTCAACTTAATCTATTATCATCTAAAATAATTTCATACTATACAATCTTATAATATTATATTAAAAATAAAGCAACGCTCTTGGTTGACAGCATATACGTGCACCTGGCAATGCTCACCTCTTTCTTCTAGAGGATACAAGATAATATTTCCATAAAGCAAGTAAAGTTACTTGTCCAAATATTTTGCTATAAAATTTACCGAATTATAACAGGTATCTCTGATCTTCAACTAGCCCATCTTCTTCTTAAATAACCTCCTTGTCCTTCTAGCTACTAGCCTTCACTGTTCATCATAAATTGGGGGGTGAGATTCCGAAGAATCCCCGTAGTAGTAATTTCCATCAAACAAATGTGCAGATAACATAAAACATGCAAAACAAGCCATATGGAACAAAACCTTGCAAGCTAATGCAATTAAGCATTTATGCGCAATGACAGATAGACAAGCTGAATAAATAATGCGCAAATAATTGGCAATCACTGCCGCGCATATAATTGGCAATCACTGCCCCATGTCTGTTAGACAAGCTGAATAAGTAAAGCGCAAATAATTGGCAATCACTGCCCCATGTCTATCAGCTGCACGTGATCACGGCTAAATAATCCATGCAAGAAATTAAGGATTACATGTTCTCATGCTTTTTGAATAGCAATATGGCACAAACAGACATGCAGCAATCATACACAAGTGTAAGGGAGGAAAGAACTACTACCTGGACGGCCTCCCTCCAAATCAAACCTTACCGTTCTCCTTTCTTTCTGCTTCTTGGTGGGCTTGAGCAGATATCAAAACCTATTATATTAGTAAGGGTTGGTTAATACTTGATCCAACATAATTTATAAATTAAATAACTCTCTTTAAATCCCAATCTCTTTCAATCTCTACCCTTACTTAATAGTTGGTCATCCTGGACAATTTTTCTTATTTAAACTTTTCTCTTTGGAGAGTTTCCTTCCTTATCTCAACCCAAACAATTACCGTTTTAGCATCCTCATAATTATTTAATCACCTATAACCTCAAGTTCTATTTAATTTCACTCTCTAACTATACCATCCACTTGAATCTCTTAACCTCTTAAATAATTCAAATTATTTGAGTCTCTCCTTCAACTTTAAATCAACATTTTTAAGTCCCCAGATACATTTTTATTCAACTAAAAAGAGTTCCATTCGTTAATCTATTCAACCTTAACCATCTTATTATATCTTCATCTTAAAACAAGTATCTCCTTCCCTCTCAATATATCACGCCTCACAGAATGACAAATCAGGAAATCTTTTTGGTTCCAGATCCAAAGACATTCCCCACGTAATTTATCCCATCACGCCACAGCAACACACTTTGATCAATCTAATTTTTTTATTCCTCATTTACAACCTCAAACAATAAGTCTTACTACTTCTCCAGACATACTTTATCCCATCACGCCACAGCAACATACTTTATTACATATGTATTTGTATATATGCATATAACTTCTCCATTCGTACACAAAGACTGAACCAAGCACTCAAAATATATATTATATAAATATAATAGGATTTAACCATTCCCGTTTCATTGACGGTTCCCTTCGCTTCCAAACATCAACTAACATTTATATACTCAAGACATTTCGAGTAAACCCCCCTCCGGACAGCACATTGCAGAATCAAAAATATATATATATTTTTTAATAGCAATATCCAACCCACAACCACAACTAAACACATGCGTGATCATAAAACTCTGTTTCGGCGAAGTCAAAACAGAGCAACCATTCGGTGATTCAACTTCAACATGCAGAACCGGATACTGTCTTCATGGGTTATTAGCACCTGTTTCGGAAACACAAGACAGAGGCACAGAGAGGAACATACATCCAAGAAAACATACTTCTCTTGCTTTTTAACAGTAAACCCGACACCCGTGGCTTCATAAACTCAGCCGCAGTTTTGGAGTCACATAACAGAGGCGTACAGAAGACATGAAGACCTTAAAATAACAGCTATACACTCCATTCTAGTCCTTGGATACAATTTCTGCAACTTGATACCCCAACTCTCCACTTCCTCTCTCTAACCCGAACTCAAACCCATCATCAACTTCATATTCAGCCTCCCAAAGCAGAAAATAACGATGGAAGTGTGCTTAAGAGACTCACCTTGATCAATTAATCGGTTTGCATGCAATAGAATCACCTCCGATCACCTTCTCGCTGGTAGCTTCTTCTGCGTTCTCTCTCTCGTTCTCTCCCTCTACGTTGCAGAACAGAATGAGATGAAAAAGGAGGGTAGGATCGGTCTGGAGGTTAAAGAGACAGAACACGTGGATGACCAGCTGATAATTGAGGGAGTGAATCAGGTGGCAAACAAAGAAGGCAGCACGTGTACTACATGGTTGCTGAGTCATTTTGCCCTCCTAAATAATTATTCCTCCAATCTTATTCCTTCTCCTATTTTTCTGAAATATAAGATATATCCAGAAATTAAACCAAAATATCATAAATGGATTTTTCTTATCCATTAGCTTCTTTGACCCATAAAATAATTTTCCTAAGAAAATAACCCATTTTTCTATGAAAATAGCTTTAAAATCATCTAAACCAGTTTTTGGGGAATGAACTTTTCCAAAATATTTCTAAACCTTGAAAAATCAATATTCCATAATTTTCCCCAATTGTGATTGAGCTATTAAATAATTTTAATGAACTTTCTCTTTTCTACTCATCCTGAGTCAGAAAATTCGGGATGTTACATCTAACTTATCTAAACTTTTCAAAACCATAAGAGACTAACACAAGGGAGGAGAAGAAGAAGCTTTAGGATGCGATTTTGGGCTGCTAGTACGTTGTTGATACAAAGGCATCTTCGGCTTGCTTCTTATATTACTCAAGTCAACAAGTCAATTAAAAGATACAAACACGTCTTGGAAAATTTCATATATATATATATATATATATATAGGAAAAATCCCAGAAAAAGCCCTTGGAATATACCAAATCCCAGATTGGACCCTTAAATTTCGAAAATGACAGAATGGGTCATTGACCCAATCTGTCATTTGTGAAATTCAGGCGAATTGACATTTTTACCCCTGAGCAAAAGTGAGTAGTTATTCTCTAAACAAATCTAGGTAACGCTTATACTGTTCTAGTGATTACAAGATTCGTTGTAGTTAATAATAAGGTACCTGACAATAATAAGATACTTGACTATGAAAAAATGAGTAGTTATTCTTTACACAAATCTAGGTAATACTTACATTGTTCTAGTGATTACAACATTAGTTGTAGTTAATAACAAGACACCTGACTATGAAAAAGTGAATAGTTATTCGCTATACGAATCTAGGTAACACCTAAACTCTTATAGTGATTCCTTGAATCATTGTAGTGAATGAATAAATGAGGGCAAAATTGTCAATTCGCCTGAATTTCACAAATGACAGATTGGGTCAATGACCCATTCTGTCATTTTCGAAATTTAAGGGCCCAATCTGGCATTTTCCATATTCCAAAGACCTTTTTTAGGATTTTCCCATATATATATATATGTATGTATAGTCGGCACTCGGCACCCACTGATTTGAGAAAACTGAAAACGACGTGTGTGAGATGAGTTACGTGGCCGACATGCCTATTGAGGGAAAGTTGACCGAAATTTCTCATATATCATTTGATTATTTTAGTACTTCCCTTTTTATTATTTTTATATAGTGTTACGAAAATTTAATTAACCAATTATTTTATAGATTAATATAAACTATTATAATTATTAACAGATTATACATAGGCGGCCAAAAACTATTAACAGATTATACATAATTGATAATCATGCGAAGTTGCGAAGGCCATGCATAGACTCTTGATATGCTTTTTGAATATATTGAGAAATTGGAAAAATGGGGTGAGAAGAAGGAACTTTTATTAATAAAAATAAAAAATGGTCATAATCTCTTTTTTTTTTTTGGTATACATAATCTCATTTCATCTCAGGACATTTTGTAATTTGCGTGGGCCTGGCTATTGTAGTTCCACGGGATACAATGGCTTCTTTTTTTTTTTTTTAATCATAATTGTTTATAACAAAGGAAACATGTTAGGTTTCGGTGAAGTGAGTGAGTGCGGAACCCAATAAAAAAGTTGGTGGTGGATATAGGATCTACAGTGGAAAAGGTACGTAGAGGAATATTAAAAAAACTGCAAATTCAATTAACACAAATTATAAAATGACTAGCATGCAACTCAGTAAAAATTTTACGTTATCTTAAACGTTAATTTACACAAATTACAAAGTTTAAATACGAGGTAATAAATTGTTATTTATATTTGTAGTATGTGTAAAAGCAATAAACTTTTGAAAAAAAAGTTGTTATTAAAATGAATTTAAATAGATAAATTTTGAAATAAAATATTCTATGTAATTTTTTCATATGTAGTAGTTAATTAATTGAGAAAAAATGACCTAGTTCAGAATCTACAATTTATCATCTATAATCTACATTGTACCTTCCATGATTTTGCACTTCTTCCATGTCTTGAAATCTAAGTCAAAATTTTCCAATTAATTTGCTTACTAGGTCCTTCCCCCCAATCTCCTTCTCTAAAGTATAATTTATTGGACAAGAAGGAAAAAGGTTCCATAGGGCTGGCACATATTGAAGACAAGCCGCCGTTACTATATATGTTCAAGTTGACTGTAGAATATCAATAGTTGTTTCTTTAACATTGTCTTTTAATTATTTGTCCACAACTTCAATTTCATTGCACCTTCGTAGATCCTGACACTTCTTCCAAACACAAGTTGCCGATAATGCTTGACTTGGACAAGTCTTCAGCATTGGTGTGCTGTGTGATAAACATAATTTGTTATTCAATAACAAGTAGACATTGGAAATATTAAAAACACAGAGATAGACTCAGAACTCAGAAAAGAAGGTTTTTTTTTTGTTGGGCCATGAGAAGACAAGCTAGTTAAAACACTGACATTTGTTACGCATTCAAATAATCAAATAAATAAATGCCAACCAACCTCATGTAATGCCGGGTTATCTGGCCAGGTTAAGAATATCTCGGTTATGGCTATAGTTGCCTTTGATATTGTCGACAGAAAAAAGAGATAACTATTGCTCTGTACCTCTTGATACAATCTTTCTGCTTTATCATCCACTGTTCCTGCAGGGAGCAAGGCTTCACACTTCGATATATCCATACTAAAATTTCCATCTTTTGGAGCCACCCCAGGTCTGATTCCTGTACTGTTCATCATCTCACACAGTCCATATTCAACCGATACCTGCACAATTTGGTGCATGTGAGATCCATCACAATCAATCACAATTTTTACCTACATAAATCTAAGCTAAAACTCTCCAAGTCTCCATAATATACAGACATCTTTCTTGGTAATTCAAAGTTAGGAAACCAAACCTTTTTTTTTTTTTTGGGGGGGGGGGCGATTATACCTTCGAGATTTCGTTTGACCCAAATATAATGTTGATATGAAACAAATTGACTTGGCATCATTGCTAGTACTTATAGTTTATTGAATTTTGGTTTCAGTCTCTATCATTTTAAAGCTTGGTTTTGCTGCTATAGTTTCATAATTTTCGAGTCTTATGTTTAATTCTATACTTGTAATGAGTCTTGACTTTGACTCCATTTTTAAACACATGGGTCAAAACCAGCTATTTGAAATTACGAGAGTTGAAACCAAAATTCCTTCCCCCCCCCCCAAAGCAATTAAAACCCAAATTCGATCAAATATTACTCCAAACAAATTTATGATATTTATGAAATACAGTCCTTTAAGGTGGAAAAATCGAACCTTGACTTTGGATGGATCAATGGGCATGGCATGGCTAGAGAGGGTACTGGTGTCGTCACGGACAGCACAGAGAGCAGTAACAACTTCGGAAGCAGTCTGAACGCAGCGAAGGAAGGGGGAGACAAAGACCCGATTGATAGGAAACCCGAGAGTTTTCCTGAGGGTCCGACCCGTTTCTAGCGCTCGAACCCAGCCGTCTCGAAACAAGGGTGGGTCCCATGGTCGGTTGCAGTGGAGGGCCTGGAGGCCCATAAAGGTTCGAAGTTATCCATCCGTTGACCATGTCTCATTACGATAACATTTTGGTAGAAATCAGGCGAACACGGAACACATTTTTGAATCAATTCCCATAGAATCTACAAAAATAAAAAAAACATAAAAGAGAGTGAATGTATGAGAGGTTTAGACTGAAGAGGGAATGAAGAATTGGAGAGTTTTATAACTTAAAGGAGTTGGAATTCTAAATAAGAGGGAAACTACTATAAAATTTCATGGAACAAGGATAGGCTCTTTCCCACCCAAAAAAGCCGCAAAAGGTATAGAATTTAAAAAGTGCGAACTTCCAAAAGATATTATTTAAAATCATATTATTCACCAGGTGCTCATGCTATAACTCATTCCTCCGATACAAGACCTCTTTTATAGTATAATTTACACTATAAAAAAAGTCTTATATTTAGAACCGGAAGAATACTTTTTAAGTCCTTGATATGTCTGGAAAGAAAAAATATACTCGCTTTAATTTTTAATATAAGAATTAAAATAACTAATTTGTGAATAATATAATAGCTTGATCATGTGCCAAAATTAATTAAAACGTGTGTTAAACAAAAGCTACATCAACTATTAATGCTTTTCTCTTTCCAATTAACAAATTATGAATATAGTAACCAATAATTATAATTAGAAAAATTATAAGAATCTAACAAAAGAAATAATAAATAAAAAGGACTCCTTTAAAAATGAAGTGAAATTATAAGGTCATACATATTATATTTTTTCCGAATTTATATGTCATATGATTTAGATAAAAAAAAAAACAAAGAGATGCTTATGAGTATAATAATTTATTTTAATGTTAATATAAATAAGTTTCATTCCATGATTTTATTTAAAAAAATATTTTCATTTTATATTTTGTGGTAACTTATTCTTTCGTTAGTGTCTACGTAAATCCTAATTAATAAATTATGAGTATATAGATTAATATTTATAATTGAAAAAATTGTAATTATTCACAAAAAAGAGGGAAAAAAAACTATAAAGACATGAATAGAGCATACATAATTTATAATTTGAAATCCAATGTCATTTTAATTTTGACCTCTAAAATTTAATATTATATTAATTTTTGTTCTTGAAATTTGATTTCGTTTTAGATTATATGAATAGTTCTAGTCCTTAAGACAATGTATTTTCCTCTAAAATAAGGGCTAAAATCAAAATAAGATAAAATTTTAAAGACCAAAGTTAAATCAAATTTAAAATAAAATCAATTTTTAGAGGTAAAATTAGAATGAGGTATGAAGACGATTAACCCTTTATAAACGGAACAAAAGAGGAAAACGAAAGCTCGGCGTACCCGGGAGAGAAGCAGCCATCCTGAAGCCTTGCTGAAACAACCAACACGGTTGACCGAATCAATGGTAATAAACACCCTTAATTAACAGAACAACAAGGTCTCGAATTACCAAAAATACCCTTAGAAATGGTCCGAATTTTCAAAGTCATGCACCTTCTTGGAGATTCCGCAGCGACCGAGAAACACGGAGTGATGAAAGCGAAACAGACGAAGCATGACGACGCACGCAGCGCACAGAAAGGAGAGATCCAACACCAGAATGGATAAGAAGACGATCTTGACTTGGACTCCTCCTTCTCTGCGTAAACACTTTCTCCTACTTTTTCGCTGTTATTGCTTCATGAAGTTACTGGACTTTTCATTGGTTGGATTTACTTATTGCTTCTTTATGGGCCCCACAACATTAACCCACAAGGCCATCTTTCTACGGCTAATCAATCTTGCGTGTGGCACTCCGCAACAGATTGGCTCAAATACGAGAAAAATAAAAAATGTCATGTCAAGCCTGGTCTCCAACTATTTTTATGTGATCTTAACAACTATTATTCACATGATGATGTTCCAGGTCTTAGATACACCTCTTTAGTTACTATTCTTTTTAATAATATATGTAATTTATAATATAATTTAAACTGCAAACTAAATTTTATAATTAAAATTAAGAATAGTATTTTATAAGAATGTTCAATTATATCCCGTCCTAATCCAATCATTTTGAGATGGGATAGTTTAGTCCCAAAAACTTTCAGAACGGGACAGAATGCAAGATAGGAGTATCCTATTCTGGTATATTATCCCTCTCTTTTTTTAAAGTTTTATAAATTTATTTTACTTATCATTATTATAATATTATAATTTTTTTAGTTATGTTGTTTACAAGTTTTTCTCGTATAGATTATATAATGTTTTTTATGGATATTTTGAGTTTATATGTTTTTTCGTCTTTTAAAATGAAATATTTTTCTTCACTAATTCTCTATTGTTTCTGATTTTTGATCATTTTTTATCTATTTTTTAATGTAAATTTTATCATGAATTTTTATACTAGATGTACATTTGGTTTTGGAAATTTTTTTTTTTTTTAAAATTTATTCAAGACTTCTTTATCCCATCTTGGTTATGTCTTGTCTTAAATTGGACAAGATGTCATTGGGATTAAACAAGACACTAGACGAAAAGGCCACTTCATCCCAATTATTAGAACAGGGTTGTTTTAGGCCCGTCTTGACTTATGAACACCTCTAGTATTATTATTTCATTTTAGAAACACCCAAAATGTGAAAAGTAGACATCCCCGATAATTGAGCTGAGCTCGCTCAACTCACTCTTGGATTCAATGAGGCACAATGATCAAATACACAGCACAAGACAGATTTCGAAGTATCATCACTTTTCCCTTTGGATTCTTAAGACCATATGAGCTTGAAACATTAGATCATCAGATTCAACTAGATGAGACTGAAGCATAAGAGCGCGAGTACAAGCTTGGGTGTGCTGAAATACAAGACGAAAAGATATATTCAGATCTCTCTTGTAATGATCAGGAGCTTATCTTTAAGGCTTTGTTTGGTTGGGGTGTTTTTGAGGGGAGGGGAGGGGAGGGGAGGGGAGGGGGATGGGAGGATGTGTTTGGTTGGGAGGAGGGGAGGGGAGGGAGCTAAAAAAATTTGTTTTTTTGTGCTCCCCTCTCCTCCCCCTCCTCCCCTCCCAAATTGGAGGTTTTTGGAGGGGAGAGAAATATTATGAGAATTTGAACAAATATGTCCATGCCATTTTTTGAATATTCCAGTGGTGCCCTCTTATTATTTTTTTGGTTTCGCATGATTACCTTCGCATTTCCTTTCGCAATCGCTCAGTTATATACACACACACAAAAATATAATATGCATATATGTTAATATATTAATTAATTATATATATATTAATATATATTATAATTATAAAATGACACTGTTAATATCATATATATTTTTTATTTCCTAATATGTGGAGGGTATTATTATATAGTTAACGTCTTGTCTTTTTTTCTCCCATTCACTTTTCTCATATATATTATACTTTTATTTTATAATTTTTTTTATCACATATAAGTGAGGTAATTGGTTTTTTTGAAATTGATAAATTAGGAAATAATAATTTTGATATAAATATTATAATAAAAGAATAAATAAGTCTAAATATAAAAATAAGGGCATATTTGTCAATTTATAATCCTCTCCCCTCCCTTCCCCTTGTGAACCAAACAAGAAATCTCCCCTCCCCTCCCCTCCCCTCCCCTCCCCTCCAACCAAACAAAACCTAAGTCCAAATGGCGATATTGTACCATTCAAGTCCAATATGCTGTTATGACATGCTTTATTTTTTATGTCGTAACTACTTCAGTAAAGTTGTTTAAAATAAAGAGATTTTAGCTTTTGTCATGTCCATGTCAACTTTATGCGATGAAGGATTCAAGCTTTAGTTATGTCATAATCTTATGCCAACTTTATTTCATGAGAAATTCTAACGTTAGTCGAGAGTCTATATAAAGATAACCCTGCAAGTATGGGGATCTCAAAACTCACCTTGGATCAAAATTCTATCTATGAAATACTTGCGCCTTTTCCTCATCAGTTCTTTTTTGAGCTGAAGTTTTCCTCATCAGTTCATTCTAATAAATTTCTCTTCTCTTGTGAAAGCTTGAGCCAGTAATATCTTTCCTATCTGTTAGAGGGTTCTGTCTATCATACGACAGAGAATCTAACCGTGATGCGACATTGACAAGGTGTTTTTCCAAACTAGTGTCTGATCTAGAAATTTAGCTATGTTATGAGATTGAGGTTCCTAATACAAACGCTAAAAATGAATGATTAAGAAGGCTTCACTTGAAATAAGATCTTTATACATCAAACTTAAATCTAGGAAAAATGACAAATAAAGAAGTCTGAAAATGTGAAATGTTAAAATAAGAAGCTTAGCAAATATATTAACAAATTGGGAAGCGTTGCCTAATAGGAGATTATGCAAATGTTGATCAATTACTAAAAAGCCCTTGATGACCCATAAAAGCAACATGTTCGGTGGAGCTGTAAAAGTTGTGGCGGGAGTTGGAGGTAAAAGTTTAGGGGGACCATAAACGTGAGAGCATGTGTAACATCCCAAATTTTATTTGGACTTTATAGTAATAATGATTATTTAAAGAAGAACTAAGAGAATTAAATTATCAATTTTTCAAGTTTATCATAAAAGATTAAAGAAATAAGAGATTTAGAAGTGAATCAAATTGAAGGAATTAATCATAAACAGTTACCTTGTATGGGTGTATATACACATAAATAAGTGCATTGAAAAATATAAAAAAAATTTATATATGTGTATTGAAAATAAAGAAATAATAGAAAACAATTTAAAAAAAAAAAAAGAAGGTGAAACGCATTGAAATCCAAAACATTTGAAATCTTGTATGTGAAATTAAATTTAATGGGAAGTTAAATTAAAAAAAAACTGGTTTAAATTTTAAAATATATATATCTCTCTCTCTTCCCATGATCTTGGAGATTTTCATATAGTTAGATATATCAATAATAACATTAAGATAAGATATATATATATATATAATTAAATTAAGTAAAGGTAAATTTATTAATTTTAACAATATATTAGCCTACTCTAATTCTTTTTTCCCTCACACATTTGTTACCTAGCTACTACTCAATTTCTCATTTAGCCTTCATTGTTATGGCCTTTCAAAAGTAGTTGCTCCTTCTTCTGCTATCTAGGCATCCCATCCTCATAAATCTACATACATTCAAGGTAAAATCTACAACTCTTGTTTTCTTTTCCCTTTTAATTCATTTTTTTCCCTCATAATTCCCCTTGTTCTTCTTCCTCTTTGTTCTTTTTCCCTGTTCACCCGTAGGTCTTATTATTATCACCAACCCCAAAACATACATAGATATATATATATAGAGTTATATATATAGGTGTGTACTTACCTCTCTCATGTCTTCTTCTCATTATTTTAATTTTTCTTTGTTCCATTGATTCCTCTCTTTCCTTGCCTTCTTCCTCCTAACATGTTTTTGTCCGCACATACATTTATTGATAGGGGGAAAAAACGCAGCTCTTCAATTTGTTTTCGTGCTCCTCTCTTCTAGAAATATTATATGTATGTATAAAAGAAATTCAACATTTGTTATGAATATAAACTTGAGAATTTTTGGATTTTATGTAAAGTAAGGATTTCATAGAAGTTATTATAAAATGTTAAATTTTAATAATACTTACAAAACATTAATTATAAGAAGTTAATAATATTTATTAGGGGTGCACAAAGACTGGACTGGACCGGGTTAACCATCAGTCTGAAGTCTGGTCTGAAAAATCAACGGGTTGGACATTTTGGTCCGCTGTCTGGTCCAGTCCGGTTAGGCCCAGGACCAGGATCGGGTTGGACTGGTCCGACTAGGTAACCGGACTGGTCCAGGTTGGTTTTCTTTTTTTTATTTTATAAAATATCTTTACAGCATAATTTTCCTGCTTGTTCAATTTTCATTATTTGTAAGCCATCTCCCCAATTCCCCAACACCCAAAAAAAAAAAAGGAAAGCAACTGTAAAATCGTGCAAGCAAACACAAGCGACTGTAAGCCATTTACTCAATTCTCAGAACAAGCAAACACAAGCAATTGTAAAATCGTGCAAGCAAACTCTGATAGAAACGCCACACAACAACACTAAAAGTGAAGCAACGTAGTGGAGAAGGGGAAGGAGGGACCATGCGTAATAAAAACTAGAGGTGAAGTTAGGACGCTCTCGATCATAAAAGCCAACAGCATTTGGGCATGACTTTAATATAACGGCAAATGTGGAGTTGGCATGAGCTAGGTGAGCAGAGCACATGCTTGCGCCGAAACAAAGACACGATGGAACCCAATAAGATTCAAATCAAGCCTTAAAAAGATCAATAGTTTAATATGCAAATCAAAACCCGCGAAGATGGAAACAACATCAGCGATCAAACATTCTTCAATTTCTGATCAAATAGAAGCAAAATGGAATGGTTGATGTGCACAGAATAAACCGTAGAATCACTCTTTTACAACTACATACAGAGAGGAGATTAAAAGCAAGCAAAAAAAGAAGAGGTCAAGAATAAGAAGCTACTCAGAGTCTTGAATGAGCCTTCCATGAACAACAAGCTAATCAATATTTGGAGAAGAAGCTAGCTGAGGAGTTGAAGTTGAAGCAGAAGCGCAGCGAACTCAGGAAGCGAGGAGTCAATAATCACGA